GGGAGCGCCGCCGCGCTTCCCAAGCGGCGTACTATCCAGTGCGCCACCGGGCCGGCCCCAGACTTCTTGAAGATTCTAGCTAGTTTCTCAGTCTAGGGAGTCCAAAGTCCATCTGGTGTTGGCGACAGTGACCCAGGGTTCTCACATTGCACGAAGGTGAAAGCAGAGAGAGCAGAGAGAGACTCCCGGCACTTCTGACACCAAGTGTGTGGGTTTTTTTCCCTCACACCAACCAATTCTCCAACTCTCCAGACACTAAGTGGGTATCCTACAATTCAATTCAACTCTGACACTATCTACGTGGAGTTAGAGTCAGATCCCACAGGTTAGTGACTCGGTTCCACAATACTGCCCCCACTTCAGATGCCAATCACAAGTCCAGGTGTCTTGTACACACCAGCTATAAATTGGTGAATTCTCATGACCCCCTCCTCTGGTCAGATAATTTACTCAGGAATGCACTTCACTTACATTTACCAGTTATTTTAAAGAATACAACTCAGGAACAGCCAAATGGAAGAGATGCACAGGGCAAGGTATAGGGGAGGGTAAGGAGCTTCCATGAGCCTCCAGCAACCCACTGCACCGCACCTCCATATGTTCATCAACCTGAACCTCTTTTTTAGGTTTTTTTTTCTAATATTTATTTGTTTGTTTATTTTTATTAGCTCCCACATATGAAAACATGTGGTATTTCTCTTTCTGTGCCTGGCTTATTTCACTTAACATAATTTTCTTTAAGTTCATTCATGTTGCTACAAATGGTTGTATTTCATTCTTTTCCACTGTTTAGGGGTTTTGATGAAGGTCCTACTACCTACGCATGAGTGATTAAGTCATTGGTCATTGATAATTAACTCAATCTTTACCCCTTCTTCCTTTCCGAGAGGTGAGAGGGGATAGAAAGTTCCAACCCTGTAATCGCGGTTGGTTCCCCTGGCAACTAGCCCCCATCCTGAAGCTACCTAAGCGTCCATCATGGGCTGGCTGGTTAGCTTAGTTGGTTAGAGCCAGGTGTTTTAACACCAAGATCAAAGGTTCTGATTCCCACACCAGCCAGCTGCCAAAAAAAAAAAAAAAATATAGGGGCCCATCAAGAGTTATTGCATTAGCATAAATTCAGGTATGATTGAAGAGAACTTGTTATGAATAACAGCAGACATGGTTCCTACCCTTATCACTCAGAAATTCCAAGGGTTTTAGGAGCTCAGAGCCAGGAACCAGGGACAAAGACCAAATATACATTTCTTATTATATCACAATCATAGAGATATCTGGATATTGTCTGGCAATGAATTTTATAGGGAGTAAGAGGAGTCTGAAACTCACTTCCATTTCCTGGAGTTCCATCTCATTACAATCACATGATCAAAGTAAGGCCAGGTTCAGAGAGGAAACCCTAATTGTGGCAGCCTACGAAACACTCACTGGTTTTTGGAGTCGTCCAGCAATATATAAGTTATTCCAGTTCAGGAGATCTTCAATCAGAATACTCGTGCTAATAACTCCGTATTTGATAAGCTATAAAAGAAAGGAAATGGGCAAGAAAAAGAGCAAAATATCAAGTTGCAGCTTATGCAAGTACAAAATATAAGAAAATAGATCAAATTCTTGACCACAGTAGCACCCTAATTTCCAAAGCCACTCAAAATGCCTACCTTTTGAAAACACATCTCCACCAAAACCTTTTAGGGATTTAGTGTCCAAGATGGATTTGGCCCCTGTATGATTCTGTTTTGTGTTGCTATAACAGAACACCTGAGACTGGGTAACTTATAAAGAACAGAGGTTTATTTGTCTCATGATTCTGGGACAGTTGCATCTGACACGGGCCTCAGGCTACTTCTACTCATGGCAGAAAGTGGCAGGCAGCCCACAGGGACAAGGAGAACACATGGCAAAAGGTAGCAAGAGAGAGAGAAGAGGTGCCAGGGTCTTTTAAACAACCAGCTCTCACGGGAACTAATAGAGTGAGAACTCACTCACTACCCCTCCTCCACCAGGGAGACCATTAATTCATTCATAAGGGATCCACCCCATGACTCAGCTTCCAGCACTGCCACATTGGGAATCAGATTTCCACATGAGTTTTGGTGGTGACAACACATCCACACTCTATCATTTTGCTCCTGGACCCCTAAAACTCATATCTCTCTCACATACAAAATACAGTCATTCCATCCCAGCAGTCCAAAAAGTCTTAGCTTGTTCCAGCACCAACTTAAAAGTCCAAAGACCAGGCCGACCCCGTGGCGCACTTGGGAGAGTGCGGCGCTGGGAGCGCAGCAGCGCTCCCGCCATGGGTTCGGATCCTATTTAGGGATGGCTGGTGCGCTCACTGGCTGAGCGCGGTGTGGCCGGTCACAAAGAAGACAAAAAATAAAAATAAAAAATAAATAAAAAAATAAATGTCCAAAGACCAAAGTCCAAAGTCTCATGTGAGACCAAAAGCAAAAGTCCTTCCAGTTGTGAACCTGTAAAAATCAAAACCAAATTTATCTACTTCCAAGATGCAATGGTGGAATACATTCCCATTCCAAAAGGGAGAAATAGGCCAAAAGAAAGGAGAAACAGGTCCCAAACAAGTCCGAAACCCAGCGGGGCAGGCATTAAATCTCAAAGCTGGCGAATCATGTGCCTTGACTCCATGTTCGATGTCCTCTGCATGCTGGTGTGGGGGTTGGGTCCCCACATCCTCTGGCAGCTCTGCTCCTATGGCTTTCCTGGTCTCAGGTGATGCTTTAGCTCTCACAGGCTGACATTGCATGCTGGTAGTTCCACGGGTCTGGGGTCTCCATGGCAGTCTTGCTCTCAAGGCTCCACTAGACATGGCACTGATGGGGTTTCTCTGCTGCAACTCTGATCCCACATTTCCACTTAGCATTGCTCTAGTGAAGGCTGTCTGTGGTGACTCCACCCCAGTGACAGATCTCTTCCTGGGTCCCCAGACTTTTTCATAGATCCTTTGAAATCGCAGTGGAGGCTCCCAAGACTTCACAGCTCTGGCATTCTGTGAGCCTGCAGAACTAACACCATGTGGACACCACCAAGGCTTCCAGCTTGTGTGTTCCAGAGCTACACATCCGGCCACACCTGGGGCCAATTTAGCCACAGCTGGAGCAGCCAAAGCACCTGGGATGCTTGTACTGGAAGCAGCTTCCAGAGGTGGACCTGAGCAGTAAGCCTGCAGAGGATGCCTCAGTCCTGTTTCGCAAGACCATTTTGTCTTCTAGGCCTTTGGGCCTGAAATGGTAGGTTTGGCCCCAGAGGCTTCTGCAACGCCCTCGGGGCCCTTTTCTCCTTCTCTTGATAATCCCTTTTCTTTGTACTAATCTTCTTAGTTAATGGTTGCTGGGCTTCCCCATTGAATGCTCTCTGCTTCTCTACCACATGGCCAGGCTGCAAATTTCCTAAATTTTTACACTCTGCTTCCCTTTTAAATTCTGGTTTAAAAGAATAGGCTGAGAGCTATTACATAGCCATGCAGCTTCCCTAATGCTTTGCTGCTTAGAAATTTCTTCAGCCAAATGCTGTGGTTCACAATTCCTAAGTTCCAACTTCCATAAAGTCCTAGGGCATAGAAACAATGCAGCCAAGTTCCTTGCCAGTTCACAGCAAGAGTGACCTTTGCTCCAGTTTCCAATAAACTCCTTCTGATTTCTGAGACCTCCTTAGAGTGGTCTTTACAGTCCATATTTCTATCAGCATTCTGCTTGCTACCACATAACCAGTCTCTAAGACATTCCAAACTTTCCTTTGTCTTTTTGTCTTCTTCTGAGTCCTCCAAACTCCTGCAGCCTTTGCCTAACACCCAGTTCCAAAGCCACTTTCACATTTTCAAATATTTGTTATAACACCCCACTTCTGGTACCAATTTTCTGTATTAGTCCATTTTGTGTTGCTATAACAGAACGCCTGAGACTGGGTAACTTATAAAGAACAGAGGTTTATTTGGCTCACAATTCTGGGACAGCTGCATCTGGCACAGGCCTCAGTCTGCTTCTACTCATTGCAGAAAGAGGTAGGCAGCTGGCAGGGACAAGCAGATCACATGGCAAGAGGAAGCAAGAGAGAGAGAAGAGGTGCCAGGGTCTTTTAAACAACCAGCTCTTGCAGGAACTAATAGAGCAAGAACTCACTCACTACCCCACCTCCCCCAGGGAGAGCATTAATTCATTCATGAGGGATCCACCCCCATGACTCAAACAGCTTCCAGTACTGCCACACTGGGGATCAGATTTCCACATGAGTTTTGGCAGGGATAACACATCCAAACTCTATCAGCCTCTAAGGTACGTGAGGTGAGGTGACACGGTTTTAACTTAGGTCCATGTGATGTTAAAGGCAGAATGGCTCTCAGATGCTATCTAGTATTGGTCCTCAATGGAGTGGAAATAAAAACCTGGTTCTTCCCCATAGATTGTTTGAGAAGCAATGATTTAGTTCATGCTCCTTATTTGAGAAATAAAAAACCCGAGGTCTGGAGAGAATGACATGCCCAAAGTGGTACCAGTAGTAGCAGAATCAAAACTACATACCAGAACTTAAGTCTGATCTTCCAATGTTCTTTTAATTACAAAGTACAAGAAATTTTAATTCTTTAATTAAAAGTTTTCACTGACATCCTTTACATAGTGAATTTCTCTTTTGCTATTGACTATTTCAAACACTTTAATAATTACAAAGTAACATCCAAAAATAACATCTTTTTATCAATGCTAAACACATGGAATTATGGTCAAGTCCATTTCAATAATAATTTGTATAATCCCTGAACACAGATTTCCCTGGTTACGAAGTCCTATTTGCATCAACAATATCTTCAGACCCACTTTGCTGAACTTCAGTATCCAAACAGGCTGCGAATATCTAAAAAGTAGCTAAAGAATTTCAATTAAAAAGTACAGTCCCTTTGGCATATAATTATGTCCAAACATTTGGTTACTGGAGCTTGTAATATTGTTTAAAAACTACTAATTAGAGATAGGCTCAGCATAATATTAATTATGGAGAAAGAGCAAAGTTATGTGTTTTGCATGATGGAAGTGGAAGTGGAAGGCTGTGCTGAGTAACTACCTTCTTCTCTCCACTCTGGTCACAGTTCTGCAGAAAGCCCTTTTTGCTGCAGGCAAGTACCAACTGGGAGATAACGAGAACACCACTGGCCTGGAATTTGGGGGACCTATCACTAACTAGCTGCATGACCTTATGGAAGTCATTTTCTCTCTCTGAACCTTGGTTTCTTCATTTGCAAAACGCACGTGGAGCGAGACTGGACCTCAACCAGAAAAGCAAGTATATGGCCCAAAGGGTATGCAAACATTACCAGTCAATCATAGCACTCATTCTTCAGCCAATTTCAGATAGGTCTTCAAGTCCTTCTCAAGTCAGTCCTCCAACCTCCTGCCTTTTAAAGTGTGGTCCTTTGACCAGTAGCATCAGCATCACCTGGAAGCTTGTAAAAACTGCAGAATCTCAGGTTCCATCCCAGGTCAACTGAATCAGAATCTACTTTTCAGCAAGATCCCCAGATGATTCATATGCCTGTCAAAGTCTGGCCTCTCTAAGCAATTGGCAGCAGAGTTGGCACAGCAGGTGAAACGTGTATGTCTTCCCTAGGTCCACTAATTTCTAGGAGGCATCTGATTTAGACTCTGGTCCTGCCCAGCTCTTGGCAGCCCTCGTAAGAGACTGGGGTGATTCTTCTGAAAGACAGTTCAGCAGGATCATCTCATCTGCTCTCCATCACCCCCCTGCCAAATACCACCCACCTGCTGGCACCAGGAGGTTCCTGTCCATCACTTGGCACCACATGCTCCCAACCACCTGATACCCTCTTCAATTCCAACTTCTTCCTGGAGATGTCTGCTCCTCCTTCTAGATGAGATTAATCTCCACCTAATCCTAAAAGGGACTGCCTATTTCTCCTGTTAACCAAACCACTGGTTCTCAAAGTGTGGTTCCCAGAAGAGCTGCTTTAGCATCATTTGGAAGCCTATTAGAAATGCAAATTCTCAAGTCCCATCCTAGACCCACTGAATCAGAAACTCTGGGGGGTGGGGCCCAGCAATCTGTGTGTCCAAGAGCCATGTGTGGGTACCCACACATAGCATCCAGGGGACATTGATGCGCACTAAAACTTGAGAACCTCTTGGCCAAAGGCAAAGAATAAAGGCAGTCACACCCAACCACCTTCTCACACTGCAGTAACAGCCAAGGTGAGATGAGGACTCCAGTACTGATCTGTTCCTGGGTTTAAGACATCCAGCAGCAGTGTGAACGTTGCCTGATTATAAGAACATATATATTTAGCTGGCATTTGAATAACAAAGATGAACAACCACCCAAGTTAAGATCAAAGTCACTTACCTTACCATCACACATGATCAATGGATTGTAGTAAACTCCAGCACCATAGTTATTCTGGAGGGATGTGATAATCTTGGGCCCCAAAATTTTTAGGAAAGAGTAGTGGCTCCGGTTTTTCTTCAGGTTCTTTGAATGCCATGCAACAGGGTCATCTACTGTGAACACAAAGTCCAGCATGGCATTCTATGAGGTGAAGAAAAGAGAATGATTTCAGTATTAATTCCAAAAAAGATACCTAAGTAGAGTGAAAAGCTCTAAAATACTACATTATTATGATTAATAGTCAGAAGACCAAGGTTTGTCGTCAGAAACTTAAGCAAGTCTCTGGAAACAATTTGAGCTTTGTTTTCATCAACACAAACAGCAAACAATTACTTGACATATATTGTTGTGCCAGCACTCTTTTAAACACTTTATATATAATACATACAGTAACTCATTTTATCCTCAAAACAATCCTACAAGGTTGGTACTGCTATTATCCCAATTTTAGAAGAAAGGAGACCAAGGCACAGGGTAAGCTCTTTGCCCAAGGACACAGAGCTAGTGACTGGCAGACCTAAGTAGTCTGGATCCAATTTCTATGTGCCGAGCCACGATGCTACACTGCCTTTCAGCTAAATGTGCTCCACTTTTCTTCCAGATCAAATTAACACCATGAGGATAATAAACTCTATAAAGTATTACATAAAGGGAAATAAGTTATCTTAACTCTCACCCGTTCACCAGCCACTCACTGAGTACGTATAATGAGCTCCGATAGTTCCCAGAGTAGAAGAGCTCAGAGTCTACTGGTGAGAACAGACAAATCATCACTAAATTGACTTGATATAGGAATGTTAAATGTACTAACTTCACTCAGAATGGGAGCTGGGTCAGGACAGGAAGGAGAAATTTCCCTAGAGATGTCAAATGTGAGTTTTGAAGGACATGTGAGAGTTAAGTAGCTTTATGGAAGCACTAGAAACATGGGGAAGGGAAGGGCAGCATGTTAGAGGAAGCTGTTCCTGTGGATATGAGGGCCAGGCATGTTCTGGAAGCTGCACTTTGATATGGCTGGAATAGAACATACTCACGTGGTGTGAGATGAGACCACAGAGGGAGGCTGTCTTCCATGCTAGAAATTTTCCTGCGGAAGAGCTAATTGGAGGGAGGAGAGACTAAGGGTGGGGGAAACCTGATAGGAAGACACTGCAAGATTCCAGGTGAGAAATGAAAAGGTATTAGCTAAGGCACTGAGGTTAGGGACTAATTTGAGAAATTTAGGTTTTAGAATCTACAAGACTTCCTAACTTCAGTGTTAGGAATAAGAGTGAGGGAAAGGGAAGGACCTTTTCTTGGAGGGAATTCCAGGTCTGCTGAAAAGAAAACCTTCATGGAAAAATGAAGAGGTGGCTACCAGGAGGTTAAGCCTGCTCTGAGTTTCCCACAGTATGATCCACAAAACACTGGAGATACTTAAGATTTGAGGGCAACATAAACATGTTTTTTTTTCAATTTTGTAATTATGTTAATGTGTGTTGGAAAAAAATAACTAGCCTATGATATAGTTTTCTCATATACTGCCAATTTAAGGAAAAATATTAAATAGCAGTACACTTGGGAAACAGAAGAAATCCAAGCAACAGAATAGATGTCCTCACCAAGACGTGAACAGGCAAACTTTAACAGGAAGACAGGTATCCAGATCCGGGAGGCCCTATTGCAATCTGCAAACTGGATTCTGTAAATCAGAAGGAAAACTACCCTCACGGCTTTTGCGCTCAGCCAGCTCTGAAGAGTAATAGTGCCTAGTTCCAAAAAGACTTGTTGAACGTGCTGAGGGTACCTCAAAACGTTCATGGAAAAATTTGTATCATCCTTTAATTCTATTTTTCCACAAACTTTTTGAAGTACCCTCGTATACTGGTCACCCACTAACTTCTTCTGTTAATTACCCTCACTGCACGTGCCCTGGCCTTAACAGCCAGTCCGTCAACTTCTTGAAGTCAGAACAGCATTTTGTATTTTCTATGGCTATCGACGTGACTTTCAAACCTGGCTACGCTTTAGAATAATCTGGGACGTTTTTTTAAAATTCCTGAGGCCCAGGCCTCATCCCAGAACAGTTAAGTCAGAATCTCCGTAGGTGAAACCCAGGCATCGGTACTTTTTTTAACGCTCCCCAGAAAATTCCAATGTTCACCAAGGCTGAAAACACAGAACTAGAATCTAACAACTCTTTATTTTCCATTCTTCCACCTTTCCTCTGCACCAGCTTTTTCCTCCACCTAACTGCATCTCCTGCTCTAGACCTAAGCGGACTCCTACTTATCCTTGAAAACTTAGCTGACGCTGTCGTTAAACTAACAACAGTTTCGCACTCTAGTTGACCCATGCAGTATGCACAGAGGAAAGGCCGCTCTAGGGCTCTGAAGGGATCGAAGGCAAAAAGGGACTCGTGAGAACCGGCAGCTTCCAGGCGTGGGACTGACTGGAGGGCTGCTTGGGGAGGGTCCGGTCTCACCTTGTCTGAATTGGGCCCCGCCTGGCGGTACACCCCGGAGCCGTAGGCGAAAGCCAGGCTCAGCTCCTCGGGGAAGTGAGACAGGATCTTGCGTAAAGCCACCCCCGAGCTCTGCAGCGCCTGCAGCGCCATGGGGCCGAGGCTCAGAGACAGGGGACCCTTGGCGGAACAGGGCAGAGCACGGGGTGAGGAACGGACACCCGGAAGGGGGTTAAGGGTGGGGAAAATGCAAGTCGGGGACCGGCCCGATCGGGAGAAGTCTTGACTGTGGGGTGGGTCTCCGAGGGCCAGCAAGGACTTGGGGCGGTAGGCCAGTCCGAGACCAAGCCCGGAGAAGCAGCCCAGCTAGGGTAAGCCGCGCGGGGGTCCCGCCGCCGAGCGTCCGCCCCTGGCCACGCCCCTCGTACGCACTCGCGCTTCAAAGCGTAAGAGACGTCTCTCGCCGGTATGTAGAGACGCGAGGGCTTTACAGAGACCCCTGGTGGTCGGAGGAGGGCGCTGCAGGCTGGCAGCCTGGGACTGCGACTTGGACAAATGGGCGGGGTAGGATGTGGCTAATTAAACTGCTTTTGAGCCTTAGGAGATCCTTCTTTGTAACTCTGTCCTCAAATCACATTTTAAGAAATGACTATAAAATCATGCACGTGTATTACAAGAGATTTTTTTTAATGAGGTGAAGCACATAGTATAGAATCAACCATTCCAAAATGTACAATTCAGTGGCTTTTAGCACATTCACAATGGTATGCAACCATCATCTCTATGTAGCTCTAAAACTGCAGAAGATATTAAAGGTTTAGAAAAACAAATAAAATTAAAATCATGCCAATTCCACCACCCGACTGCTGTTAAGATTTGGCTGATTTCCTCCTGTTAAAGCCCTTTCCAAATCCAATGAGGAATATGAAAGTGCTGTTGTGAGGCTGCTGCTCGGAAAGGAACCAGAACATTCAATTGAGAATTTTTAAGGGTCTTTATTAGCCGGCCAGCGACTACTTCCCCAGATATTCTGGTGAGAGAGCAGCCCCCAGCCTAAGTTTGAGGGGTTTTTAAAGGCAAAAAGTCACACAGTCACACAGCAAAAGTTACATCCCCCCTCTGGTGTGAGGGGGTGAGAGGGGTTTCACAAGGCCCAAAGCAAGCTGGTTACAGAAGCCAAGGTAAGCAAATTAATCAGTGAGAAACAGCAAAAACTTCCCCATGGTAGTCCCCTCCCTAGATCACCTGTTTATATCTTGATATAGTTGGGTTTTTGTTTTTGTTTTTCTATAGGCGGGAAATTTTAATTTTTCCATCTTTTTATATCCAGGTACAGGGTGTCTTGTTTGTCTAATGAGAACTTCTGCTAAGGGTGCTGGGGGCATGCCAGGGTAACAGAAGGAGAACTTTGACAAGCTAGGTATCTGTTGTGAAATGTTGGGGGCTAATGGAGTAAGTTAAGTCAATTTACCTTGTCACAGTGCTCCATAAATGGTTAGGGACAGCACAAACGTCCTCTAATATTTGTATTTAATATTAAGGGTGGAGGAGCCTTTGTCCCTTTGCCTTGGGGATTGGTCTCACAAAGGACACTTTAAATGCTGTTTCTGAAAGAAACAGGACCCCAGGACAGAAAGGATCTTGGAGTTCTTTCTGGGAGAAACTTGTTCAAGATCACGTGACCATTCAGGATGGCATTTGACTTCCAGGACAGAGACATTTCAGCTACTCTTTCCTTCCTCCCTGAGTTACACTGCCTCTCAAAAATGATAGAAGTAGTAATATCTAACATTTAGGTAATGTTGACACGTTTTCACATGCATTTCTCATTCAGTTCCTTCTAGTGCCCTGTGGGAGGAGGCTATTGCCTCCATTTTAAAGACGCTCAGGCTGAGAGAGGTAAAGCAATCGTATCAGCCTGTGGCCAAACTGGAACTAAAACCCAGGTCTGACTGACTCCACCTCTGGGGTTCTTTCTACAATTCTTCTCTGTCGTTGAAAGGTTTTGAGAAAAGACCTATCAGGATCAAATGTTAGCCTGGACTAGAGTGGGGAGAGAAGAGGTGGGGAGGCCAATTAGGAAGCTGTTACCATATTTCCACCATGAACTGAAAACGGGCAGGCCTGGGTGTTAGAAGCAGAGATGGGATTAATTCAATTGGAAAAATGGCTATTTAAGTTCACACTCCGGGCCGGGCACATATTTCCACCATGAACTGAAAACGGGCAGGCCTGGGTGTTAGAGGCAGAGATGGGATTAATTCAATTGGAAAAATGGCTATTTAAGTTCACACTCCGGGCCGGGCACTGAGGTAGGTGATGAGGATTTGGGAATGAATAAATCAGAGCTTCTGCCTTGCAGGAGCTCAGAGTCTATCGAGGAGACACACAAGTAAATCAAAACATAATGTGCGGTCATGAAGCTGGGTATCCAGCGCTGTGAGGGAATATCATGTCCCTCCAGTAAGGGAACTTTATGAAATCAGTTATAGGTGTATGGGGAGAGACCAGAGGAGGTTTCACAGTGATGGCACTTGAGCCAGGTCTTGAAGGTCAAGCAGGAGTTCATCAGGCAAAAGATACATGGGGAGATTCTACCAAGAATTGATAGGACTTGGTGATGATAATAATAGGTGTCATTTTCTAAGCACTTACTATGCCCAAGCACTTTTTTTTTTTTTTGGTTTGTTGGCCAGTACAGGAATTGAATCCTAGACCCTAGTGTGATTAGCACCGTGCTCTACCCAAGCACCTTTTAATCTTATCTCTTCTCATCACTCCAAAGACCTTATAAGTCAGGTTCTCTAAGATGATCGTATTTCTCACATGAGGAAACAGAGGCCCTAAAAGAAGAAGCAAATTCCCTAAAATCACATAGTTAAGAGAGTGGTGAAGCCGGGATTTGAATCCAGGGCTACCTAATTCCGAAGGCCACGGTCTTACAACCGTGTTTAAATACCTTCTAAGATGGCTTGTGAGGTGAGGGAAAGAAATAGATTAAATAAACTGGCTCTAAGCCATCAGACAAGGTTCAGGAGCAGCAGAAATAGCCAATGGACATCAAGGAGACCAGAATAAGGGAGGCCAGAGGGAGACACTGTGCATCTCCGTCTCCCTGGTGAGCACAGGCATTTTGGTTCCTTCTGACTAAATATCACCCTTGCCCAGATTGCAAGAATCTGAAGAGCACTTATGGAATTACACTGAAACCTTTCACCCAAAGACAGTGAATAAGCCCCATTACCAGCCTTTTCAAATTTTCTTTCTTCCCTGAAGGAAATAATTCAATTCCATTGTTTTTTTGTTTTGGGTTCTTTTTTTTTTTCCTATTTGCAAAAGTAATCTCTGCTCATAAAAATGTAAACATTACAAAATACGAGTATCATCCCCCAGAGATAGCCATTGGTAGTCTTTCGTACATATTCCCCCAGGTATTTTTTTATGAATATATTAACATTAAAAACATTTTTAAATGGAATCATATGATAGATAACAAATTTGCAATTTGCTTTTCCCCCACTTATATCAGGGACAACATTCTGTGTCAGAATATATAGATCTGTCTCATTCCATTTATTAGCAGCAAATTACTGGAAAATATGGATATGCCATAATTTGTTCACACATTTTAATATTGACTAATATAGATGATTTCTAGTTTTCACATGTGCAAACAGTGCTATAGCGTGAACATCCTGTAAATATACCTTTTTGTGCGTGTGCAAGTATTGCTATAAGATAGATTCTTAGAAGTGAAATTGCTGGGTCAGAGCATCAGCACATTGCTAAATTCTCCTCCAAAAGATTGTACCAATTCACACACCCACCTACAGCGTTCAGCTTGATGTAAATAAAGATGCTGTAATGTTTCTCTATTTTTCTCCTTTACAGGCTTTCTCACCTAATTATCAGTAGTTTTCATTTTCACAAACACTTTCTCTCCTGACACTGCAAAACCACCAGCTGGAAAGTTCCATCACATTCTTGTGTGGCATTTTGCCTTTCCCTAGAAAAAGGCAGAAGCAATACAGTAGAGAACACATTTGTATTCTTCAGCAGAAATTTCCCTGCGTCTCGCCGTTTATCTGCTCTTTATTGAATTACTGTGGCTTGCTAAGTTAGAAGCTATTGAAAAGCCCTACTGTTCTATATAATCGCTTTCAGGTTCTGTTGGAAAGCTCATATCAATGAAATAAAGATGATAGAGAGGCATTTAAAAATATAGATAAATGCCACTTGATCTGAGTGAACGGTGGGCCTCATGCTTCTGATTTATCTAGCAGTCGTCTTTGTATTCCTTAACAGTGACCCTGCCAGGCTAGGTTTCACTAGAAGGTAATGGTAGAGAGGCATTTAAAAATATAGATAAATGCCACTTGATCTGAGTGAACGGTGGGCCTCATGCTTCTGATTTGTCTAGCAGTCGTCTTTGTATTCCTTAACAGTGACCCTGCCAGGCTAGGTTTCACTAGAAGGTTCACCTAGTCCTTTTTATAAAAAGCCCTGTAAAATGGCTATAACTTTTATGCCACGGTTTTTCTTCTAATCAGTGCTTCAGTAAAGAACAGAAAAATGTTTGGGAAAAAAATCCAGGCTCCGTGGTTCCTACAATTAAACACATGTTCAATTTATCTGCTGATGGAGGGGAAGGAGAGGGGTGTGGATCTCTGTCTCATCAGAGGATGGTCACCCTGTCACATCTGTCCATTCTCAGCTGACTGATGTGTCGTAACTGGGCCACACTGAGAGCGTCTTCATACATTAAGTCTCTGATCAGGGGCTTGGAGGTACCATCTGGGTTTTGAATCCAGGCCCCAGGACTTAATAGCTGTGTGACCTTGGACAAGACAACTTAATTTCTCTGTGCCCTCTTTTCCTGATTTGTAAAGTGAGGATAGTAATACCTGCTTCATAGGACTGTGACAGCAAATGAAATAGTATCCAGAAAGTACGTAGAATGATGCCTGCCATAGAATAAGCTCTCAGTGAATGTTCTCCATCTTATTGAACTCTTAAGAGAACAATGTACAAAAGGAATTAAAAACCATAATTATACCTAGCATCTCTATGGCATTTAGCATTTTACACAAAGCACTTGTCTAGTCATGGTTTTATTTCATTCTTAAAACAAATCCTGGGAAATGAGTGGTAACTATTCCAATTTTGCAGATGGATAAACTGAAACAGAAAAATGAAGTGACTTGCCTGAAGTCACAGGGCTAATGGCAGCTGCTGCCAATACAGTCTCTAAGTCCAATCCTTTTCCTCTCACACCATAAAAGTAATGCAAGTTGTTCATCTCACCAAGGGATTCATTCAC